AAGAGAATAAATTCTCTCAGGAGTGGGCATTTCAGAAGTTGTGAGATAGAAGTGGAAGCCAGACAGAGAGAATAGACTGACAATAAATAAATTAGGGCTGAAAATGGGAATATTTGTGACCACAGAAAGAAGAGCTGAGAGGATAAAGGTGATGGTGGGAACTGTCTCTGTCAATGTGGCATTTATGCATGGAAGAGGGATTGCCTTGCAGTACAACCCCTTGTGATCCCTTCTGTAACAGACTGAGCATGAACATCCAAATGAAAGATCAAACATCAGCTTTATCTGTTGTGCAAAGTCAGAGCTTACAAAAATATTTGTATTTATTAGACATGATGGGTTACAATGGGATTGTCTGAACCAAGCATGGCTTTGGTCTATGCACAGCATCTTTTCTCTTCTGCTTGACATTCCTAATGTCATTCCTTAGACAAGCCTTAGTCTCTGCTTATTGCACATCTAAAAACAGCTGTTTGCCTGGCTCCTTTTAACTTTTGTTAGGAAGTCTTGTTTGGTGAGAAGGGAGTTGAGGGTGGGCAGTCTTGGCTGTGAGTGACATCTCCTGGCATCCAGAGGTGCTGTTGATTTAGTGTCGTTTGGCTGGAGGGGTCGTTTCCTACTCTGTGAGACACAGGAGTCAAATCTGCTTCCTTGCCTTCCCACAGAGCTGCCTCCCACGCTGGTGTGGTCCTGCCTGCTTATTCACTAATAGCAACAGGGTTTCCACAGCAAAATTGCTGCTGCCTGGAGTGACTGACAACATCCTCCCAGTTCTCTGTCTTGGAGACAGAAAGGATGTTAGATCTGTTCGTGTTTTGGGGCCATCACTGGATGGAACCAGTGGTAGCCCCCACAAAAAAGCAAGAGACCAAAATTGGAAACAGAGATGCAGCTGGGCTGTGCTCCAGCTTCTGGAGAGTGCTCAGTGCCTGTGCAGGCGGGCAGGGCTCCAGCATCAAGCAGCTCTGAGCTCTGAGAGGAGAAAAGCAGCATCATTTCTATGCCTACTTATGGCCCTACGGGATGTTTTAGTCACTGCACACAGTGGGCAGGGTGAGAGAAAGAGTAGAGATCTGTCTCTGCTTGGACTCTGACTGGGCACAGGGACAGAAGATCGTGTCTGCTTAATCTTTAGCTGAGGAAAACTGCTAGTGGAAGGAAAACCCTGGGGTCTGGAAATCAGTCAAGTTCTGCTCCACTTGGTGGACACTGAGGAGTGTTTGCATGGCATTCGGCAGTGTGAATGTGAAACTCTAAGCAGCTGGAGGAAGCTGGAATTCTTTAGCCCCTGCAGAACCTGCAATTTCACCTAGAGCTGATGGAGATAACCAAGGGCACATAAAAGGGAACTTATTGAAATACCTCACCTTTCTGAACAAACAGCAAGTGAATTTTACCTGCATTGAATTCTTTAGATAGATTTGCAGTGTTGGTTTTTGTTTGAATTTTTTAAAAAATAAGTTTGTCTTTTTTAAACAAGTCTGTCAAGTATTCAAGTCTGTACACTTTGAGTGCTCTTTGGAAGGTTATTACTTTGTTACACTACCTTCTGGATTATGCTTATCACCTTGTACCTTTTCTTGTATGTAATATTTCAATACAAAACTTCTTGGTAGTATTAGAGTTCACAGAGATGGATGGTTTGGTATGGGATACAGAAATGAAGTCACCTATCTACAAACTTCAGAGTCCTGAAAAGTGCTCATGATATTGAACTAAAATTCAGGAAAAAGTCATATTCAGGGTTAAGAAAATAACGTGCCTTGGGAAAAAAAATTACTAATCTCAGGCTACAGGTAGGATGCAGACAATTATCATTATGCCTCTGCCTTCACACAAGAGATTTATACTTTATAATTGGGAAGGTCCATTATAGTGAGTACAATGTTCCTGCTATGCTGCCAATGCTGCCACTCTCAGAGTGTGGCTGCTGAAAAGATACAGCAGTCTGACAATACCCATCACAACAGGAAATCTGAGCATCTTAGAACTTGTGCAAAGTCACACATCCTTCATTCCTATGACTGCAAACACATAACAAATTTGTTCATGGTTGTGTCTAGGTAAGATCTCAGAGGAAGGGTGGCAATAATTATGTGGTTGTGCTGGGCAGCTGTCAGCAGCAGTTTCAATTTTCAGGCACGCTAACTTCATATCTATATTGTGCAGCTAATTTTACATTATAACATCTGCTTTAATTAATTTCTCTAGGGTTAAAATAATTTTGTTCAACAGACATGCTCAGTGCTATCATAACCTGAGCCAACCACTCTCTACAATGAGAGGGAAGGTCTCCTAGCTGCTATGCTCTGCTGTTTCTAATCACTTCAAGCCCTGAGTTCTGGGTGTTTTTGAATAGAGTTGGATAAAATACATTCTTACTTCCTACTGTCTGGTATGTGCACTAGGCTATTTTTTTAAAGCTGCATTCTTGGAGATATTGGCAAGCATGCTGACCCTCTAATAGGCACTCAAAAGTGCAAGCGTTACAAGCTTCCAGATTTCACAGTTAACCTCAGCAGATTTAACAGAGAGAACACAGATCTCCAGGTCAGTGTTACATCCCCAGTGGGCCTCTCTGTGGCATCTTCAAAGCGAGCTCTCCTGGCCCTTTTAGGTTCCATTTTCCCTAAGAAGGTAAGAAGATGTTATTTGCCTATAGTTAGAGATTTCCAGAGGTGTGTTGCTTCTTTTCACTTGGGTTAACTTCTAGACTAACTTGAGGATTTAGGGTCATTTGTAAGGTCAAGTAACACTGTATAGTTCTGGAACCTGGGACTGCTTCTCACATAAAACCAGAGCAATTAGAAACTGACCCTATTCAGAACATGAATGATTTTCATATTTGCCTACTTGATATGAAGTGCCAGGATGGATTTGGCACATTAATCTGAGTTTGGAGGTTGATGTGATTGTCTGCACTGAGGTATTGCCATCCTGAATGACTGTAATGTACTTCTAAACATCTCCTGGAGTATTTGTGTAAAAGGAAAAGAGAAACTATCTCCCATGCGAGTCAGATGATCAGTGCTTTTGAGCATGGAGCATCACTGTTGGTGGAAATGGATTTCATGTCATAGTGGGAGCACATATGTCCCCTGGAGCTATTGTTTCTTTTAAGTGTGGACTTTACATCAAATTTATAAATCTGGAAAATACACTGATACCCTTTCTAGAGCTTCTTGTAGTAAGATGCTATTTTATTAAACAGTTGCATAACTGACCAAGTCTAAATTGTGAAATAAGGTTTTGGCTGTGGGATATATAAAGGATTATCCAAAACAGAAAAATGTGACAGACAGCATCATGCTAGCCACTAACAAGTGCAACTATATGTATATTGGCTCTGAAGGCTCAGATGACATATTGGCTGTGGATGATTTTCATCAGCTATAAGTGGCATTTTTTTACTGAATTCTATTGCTAAACATGTATATTAAACCACAAAAATCTTAATTTGTTAGATAGGTTATCCCAAATATGCCTGTAACATTTAAGGAATTAGAGTGGTACAAGTTCTGCAAAGTGTGTGATTTATCTACTGTGCCAATTCTGCAAACACAGGTCATTCATAACCTGGTGGGCAAAGGCAGGTATTCACAGGGAAAAAGGACTACAGGAACATGCCAAAAGGCATGCCTTTGGGGTGTGAGAAAAGATGGACTACTGGGATAATAACATCCTTTTTCTGCTCTAGTCACAGGTACCAAACCAAAGATGTCCTCAACAAGAATGATTCTACTTATCCTGGGATTCCTCTCTACTTTGGCTGTAATTGCTTTAATTGCTGTAGCAGTGACCCAAAACCAGCCATTTCCGAAGAATATTAAGGTATTACGAGCTGGTACCCTTAGAGGAAAACAAGCTGGGGGGTTAGGTGTCCATAGTGCTCACAGACACGTTGCTGCCCTTGCTGGCACTGGCTAACCTCTTTTTCTGGCTCCATGCACCTCAACACCTTGTTTTGCATCTTTGTGGTAAAACCAGTTACAGCTTCACGGGGAATCATCTCCTCAGTATCCAGTCCCAGCTTTGCGCTTTCTCTGCTCCCGTTTCCTTTGCCGGGAGCGTTGCACTGAAGCTCTGCTGAGAGGAGCAATGGCACACATTCCACAGCTGGCAGGCAGAGGGGCTGTGTGTGTCTGGTCCCCTGTGTGGAGCCAGCACACAGCACGTCTGGCTGGTACCTCAGGTGTGATATGGGCTCTGCTTTGCCCGCAGTATGGGATCGTGCTGGACGCGGGATCATCCCACACCAACCTCTACGTGTACGAGTGGCCAGCAGAGAAGGAGAACGACACCGGGGTGGTGAAGCAGGTGGAGGTGTGTAAAGTTGAAGGTAAGAAGAGAAGAAGGAGCTGGGGAAGGGGCGTGGGATGAAGAAGAGATAATGTAATAAAAGGGTGAGGGAGCAGAGATCTAAAGGAAGAAGCCAATAGTAGAAATAGTGTTCCACCTGTGAGATAATGCATCTCACTGGTTCCCATGGGGAGCTGTATATGCCTGACCTTCCTGGGGAGAAAAATGGGTCCATATTTTCCTCTGTTTTCAGGATGCTTGGAATTAATCACTTTTTGGAAAGAACTACACCAAAGAATGTACTTAAATAAATAAAATGTCAGCATGCACTCTTGCTGAAGTGCTGATGAAAGCAATGAGAAAGGACAGCATGTTTTTTTCTTTTTCAAGGCTTCTGTGCAAGCTATGCACAGGGATTGTGGCTTCAAGGTTGCTCAACTTATGCATATCATGGTGCTTTTTTAATTCTATTTAATTGCTGTGTAGATACAGGATGGTTTAGGAAGGCATAAATGAAGCCCAGGGGTGTGCACAACAAGGAACAGCAAAGACCATCATGGATCTCTGCATTCAGAGGTGTTGTCAGACCTGCCTGGGGTCTTTCCAGGCCTCTGCAGTGCAGGAGAGAGCCCTACTGTTATGAAGCTGCTGTGAGAGCTGCTCAGTGCTGCAGCACCCCATGTCACGAGCAGCACACTGAGCATGCAGCAAGCTGGAGCAAATGGGGCTTCACTGCTGCCATGCAGGCACTGGTCCTGGGGCAGTCCAGGGAACAAGTGGACACATGGCAGAAAAGGGACAATGATTTTTTCCTTGGGTTAGAACAAGACACAATAGCTGCAGAACACCCAGTGTTGTGGTGTTGAGTAGAAAGTGCACAAACAAATGACAGCATCTGCCCCCGGAGGAGGCAGCATGGAGGGTCAGGGATTTTCAGGCGCAGATCCAGGGTACACCCAGGGAGACTCAGAGGAGGGTCTGCAGATGTTCAGGGCATGTGAAAGCAATGGCTTGTCCCAGCCCTCATTGCTAGTGCATAGCCTGCTTTGTGGAGAAAGGGTGGCAGATGCTGGGCACTGTGACCACCCACTATGTGCATTGGGTTTAGCTGCTGCTGTAGGATTTCTAAAGCTCCTCAGAAATGGGGTGGTTGAATCCGATCCTGCTGCCTATGATATGGTTTAACACCCCCACTCATGACAGCATTCTGGGGTTTTGTTTGGAGTCTGAACTATAAAGTGTCTTTACTTCTTGCAGGCCCTGGGATCTCAGGTTACTCCCATGCCACAGAGAAGGCAGGTCCCTCTCTGGAACAGTGCCTACAACAAGCAAAAGAGGTGATTCCCTCAGCACAGCACAAAGAGACACCCGTCTACCTCGGAGCAACTGCTGGCATGCGGCTTCTCAGGTACTGCAGGGCTTGTCCCCCTCTCCTGCAGCACTGCACCTGGGATTGCCATGGATGTGCAGTGGGGATTCCAGGCAACAGTCCTTGGACACACTACTGGCTCCCACTGTGCCCAGATATGCTCCTCTGCTGCTGACCCCTCAGAGCCCCGAGTCCCCTGGACTTTTCCATTGCTTCCCCATTCACCCCAACTCTCCATCATCTCCTGCATCCACATGCAGCACAGAGACACCAGGAGATAGCAGTGTCCCGACATCCCTATAATAAAAGGATGATCAAACATCCCCACAGTTTGGTATTAGGCCCAGATTTTTGAGCCCAAATATGTTGCAACTCCTCACAGAGGGGCATCAGAGGCTAAGGTGATTTTATAATCACATCCTTCTTTAATTACAATTTGTGATTTACATGAGGGTGACCCAGACTTCTCCTGGCTAGGGCAGGGAACTGATCTTTGTTACATATTGCCTGGGAAATCTTCCTGGAGATATCTTCTGGATTTCTTCTATAATGGCGACAGCAATGAGTGAGAGGAGTCTCCACAGTGCAACCAGCTCCTGTCAGAATACATGCTGCAGAACGAGAACTCTGGTCTGTGCTCCAAGTACCTACCATTCCCAGCTGCAGGGTCTGTAAGTGTCAGAGTTGGTGGCAGCTGTGCTGCCAAGGTGTGACAGAGAGCACCATGGCCAGCTAGAGCTGGATTATTCACACTAATGACTGACCTCTGATCACTGACTCTTGGTGGGGAGTTGCAGCCTTCATACTCAGATAAAGCACATAGCGAGCTGTCAGCCAGAGTTACTCCACCCTTTCTTCTGTTCATCCAGGTTGCAGAATGAAAGTGCAGCTGACAAAGTCTTGTCCTCAGTAGAAAACACACTACGCTCAGCTCCCTTCAACTTCCAGGGTGCCAGAATCATCACTGGTCAGGAAGAAGGAGCCTACGGATGGATCACCATTAACTACCTTCTGGGCAATTTCAAGCAGGTAGTATATCTATAGCAATTTGAATCACTGGCTTGCAGCACTTTGTAAATCCTGCCTTTCAAGAAGGTGTCACAGGCACTTTCTTCCCTTGTAAGCCATTTACCAGGGATCAGGAAGCTGCACATCTTGCCTCAGCAGTTGCTGTGAGTACATCCTGATACTTAGTGGTGTCGGGATGCACCACTATAATTAGGCTTCAAGCACTGAAATAAAACACCAGCATGTTCAATAATTTTGCTTGGGTACAGCATCCTTCTCACTTCCTGATCTAAAATATTTCTGTTTCTGAAAAGTTTGACTATGGTTCTTTCCTGTTGAGCTTATAAACCTTCTGAGAGCTGAAACAGTAAGTGGACTGCATTTGCTCATAACAATAGTATTAGATTTCATATTCTTTGCCCTCCTGCAAAGACTCAGATACGATCCATCTTCTGTATTTACAAGCTTGCATTTTTCTTATGTCTTGCTCCAGCTCTCATCTCATGCCCCCTCCAGGACTTCCCATGTTTCCCATGTTCTGTGCTTCTGCTTCTCTTCTCATAGCTCTTTCTCTTTTTTATTTATCCAAAATAAATCTTCTCCATGCCAAATATATCTGGTTTACTTTGATTTTTTTTTTCCCCAAGTCTGGCTGGAAAAAGCTTCTACACTCCCTGAAATCTTTAAGTGAGACATCAGGAGCTCTAGACCTTGGAGGAGCCTCCACACAGATTACCTTTGTATCAAAGGAGCTCACTTCTGAGTCCCCAGAGAACCAGCTCTACTTCCGTCTCTATGGCAAGGATTACCAAGTGTACACGCACAGCTTTCTCTGCTATGGGAAGGACCAGGCTCTGCAGCAGAAACTGGCCAGGGATCTACAGGCAAGTACATCTACACCTGTAATTGAACAATCCTGGGCTCTCCCAGCTTTGGGATACTGGTGCTGCAAAAGTTGCTGCGTCCCAGCTCACCTCTTAGTCTGGATTGAAAATATGTCATTGTTCTCCATACAGACTGGGCATGAGGTGCCCAAAGAGGTGACAGTCAATACTTTCAAAAGTACTACCAATTTGAGATGCCTTAATTCTTGGTCATGGAATAGCAAGATAACTGCATTTAACTGAAGTACTCAGGGGAGGTGACATTTTACCATCTCTGAGAAACCCAAATCAACAGCACAGCTTCACAAACTGTGACTTAAAATAATTTGCCCAGGGTCCTACAGGGAGACTGGCAGTATCCACATCTTCCCCTGTACAGCCAGTGCCTTAAGCCATCCTTATCCTTTTGATCTGATGTGTGCATCTGGATGTGATGTACTGTGACAAGGGCCACCCTTCCTTGTGGTTCTTTCCCAGGGTGTTATTCTAGAGCAAAGTATAACAGCTTGGATTTTTATTTTCAGACTGTGGATAACAGCCTTCTCCCTGACCCATGCTTTCACAAGGGTTATGAGAGGACTATAAACATTAGTGACTTCTTCAAAAACCCTTGCACATCAGAAAAGAAAAAGCAATTACCTTTCAACCAGCTGTACATAAAGGGAGAGGGGGACTATCAAAAGTGCCGAGAAAATATCCAGAATCTCTTCGACAAAAGCAATTGTCCTTACTCCAGTTGCTCCTTCAATGGGATATACCTACCTCCATTACAAGGGGATTTTGGGGTGAGTCTTCACTCATTCTTCAACTGTCTGTGATCCAGAATGTCAGAAGAGCAGAAATTCAAAGTAATGCCAGAGCGCATTCTTATGACTGAGGCAGGAAATCATTTACAAGATGGTTTTCTGGACATGTAACTATGAAAGTAGTGCTGCACTCGCTGTGAGGACAGATGTGTTAAGAGCTACCCCAGTAAATACTGGCCCAGTAGTACTGCACTGCTCCCATTCTAACCCATCTCCTTGGCTGCTGTGTTCACTCACTTTTTAAGCTGCCAAGCAGCAGAGGCAGGAGAGCCTGCTGCAGGAACACTGCTCCTGCAAACCTTGTCTCCTGAGGTCAGTGGTGACACCAGACCTGAAGTTCACCCAGAAGTGTCTGAGTGCTACTGAAACCAGTCAGCTCACCTATCTGCTTGCCAGGCATGAGGAGACAGTGCACACTCTGAACACACATTATGTGTGACACCATGCTGACCATCAGTTCTAGAGCTGCAAGAGCTGCTCAGTGATTGTGAGGCTTTCCAGGGAACAGCTAATACAATCTTGCCCTGCTCCTAAGCTGCCTTCTACCTATCAGCTACTGGCCATGATCAGAGATGGAGTCTCTGGACCTCAGGGCTCTGTACAATCCTTTCAGACCATCACCTCTGCTCTTTGTGGTGATATTGTTTGCATACTAATCTTACTCAGTTGCCAAAATGGGATCATGGTTGTGATGGCAATCAGTGTTCACTGTGTGGCACTGGCACAAGTAAAGGAGAGAGCTCCTTTAGAACAGAAGTTCTTCAGGATATCATAATTCCTACCTCCATCTCTCAGCAGCTCTGAGCCGTATGTCTAAAAATAACATCACTCTTGAAAACATTCCTACTCTTTTGTGTGTGATGTTGCTTCTTATACTTCTTTATCTAGAAAAAAAACTCATTTTCTTCTGTGGGATTTGTGGCCTAGTCAGATTAAAAAAAATCTTTCTCCTTCAGGCTTTTTCTGCTTTCTATTTTGTGATGAACTTTTTGAACCTGACCAGTGAACCAAAACCCCTTGCTCTGAACAAAGTGACCAGCACCATTGAGACCTTCTGTGCCCGGCCTTGGCAAGAGGTGAGCCATGCTTGTTGCAGTAGATTGGGGCTCCAGATACTTTTCTGTGGGATAAATGGCTGGGATTAATCTCCAGAGCAAGATGGGGAAGATCCCCCCAGCATCTGCAGCGGATGCTCAGGCACAAGCTGGAGCAGTGGGAAGGTGTGTTTAACAGTCTGGTGATTGCCTCCTTCCCTAGGTGAAGACAGCCTATCACCACATCAAAGAAAAGTACCTGAGTGAGTACTGCTTCTCTGGAGTCTACATCCTCTCTCTCCTGGAAAATGGCTATGAGTTCACTGAAAACAACTGGCAAATGGTCCACTTCCTTGGAAAGGTGTGTTTCGTGGAGGGGAGGGCTCTACCCCAGCAGTTCTCTGCAGCCTCTGCCACACAGCCTGGCCCTTTATCCCGAGGGTGCCACTGCTCAGGTAATGCCATAGGCAGCCTCTCAGCACTGATTCTGCTCTTCTGTTTCAGATTGACAGCAGTGATGCAGGTTGGACCCTGGGCTACATGCTGAACCTGACCAACATGATCCCTGCAGAGGAGCCAGCTGGGCCCCCCCTCTCCCACGGCAGCTACGTGGGGCTGATGGTGCTGTGCTCCCTTGTGCTGGTGTCTGTGCTCCTGTTTGCCTGGCTTCTCCTCCACAAGCCCAAGTGCCTGCAGAAGGGGATTGTTTAGGAAGAACCTGAAGGGGAGAGGAGCCGTGTCATCCTGGTTGCTCAGGGCTAGGAGACCCCAGCAGAGCAGGCTGTACTGCAGAGTCCCTCTCACTGAAGCCTCTGACTGTAAAACAAGGGCATTTATTTCTTCTGAATCACACTTGCACTGACAGACGTTGGGACATCAGGCTCGCCACCTTCTCTGCCAAGGACAGACAAGCTCCTGTCCCCTCCTTGAATGGGTTGTACTTTCATTCAAGGAAACTTTGCTGCTTGTTGGTTTCTGCCTTGTGCACAGCATTATAAAGAGAAAAGTGGCAGCAATCTTTGGGAGCCAGTGCTCCTGCAAGGGTTATCTCAGGGTCACACATCCCACTGAGCTCTTGGGAGCTATCACGTCCAGGGTGATCTGCTCCTTCTCTGCTGAAGCTGTTCCAAGAGCCCTTTCTGCACCAGCACACCCCTGCTCACCTCCCCGCGCCCTGAGCTCTAGCAGCCCTACAGCTGGGTACAGCTCCTGCACCTGGCTGGCCCTGAAGGTGGGTCAGGCTCTCAAATGCCACTCTGGGAAAAGAAGGGATGAGGAGGAAGAAGCTGAGCGTGCTTGTGGTCATCAGCCCTTAGCTGGGCTCTGTCGGCTGTCAGCTCCTTTTGCAGGTGGCAAAATGCCTTTTTCCCACGTCTTCCTGATGTTGTTGCTGGACCAAAGCTGGCTCACTGTTGCACTGAGCCATTCCCATGTCCCTAAGGTACATCAAGCCACAAGTTCCCAAATAGGAATTGCTGCTTTTTATAGGAAGAGCTTGTGTTGGCCCAGGTTCCTTGGCCAGTAGTGCTTGTCTATGCCTGCAGGGACTCTGGTGGGACCAGTGTGCCCTCAGGTATAACCCACTAAAGCAATCCAGGGTCACTGTGCTGGTAACACAGCAGCCTCCAGTCTAGGGAAAGTGTTTATTAGTTAATGTTGCTGTAGGCAGCTGGCAGCAGTTAAACAGCATGAGTATGCACAGATTGAACCACTCTTTCCACCAGCAAATTAGTGGAGATTTGCCTTTCCTTTCCTCCTAGCACAGACTTATCCTATGGCCACAAGACCCAGGGCTTGTGATGCACATACTGCAGCCCACACAAGTAGGACGATGCCACTGATTGAGTTTAAGATCACTTTCGTCCATGTTTCCATTTCTTTGTCCAAAAAAAGAGAGGTAAGTCAGAAATCCATTTTTGTAAAAACACTCAGAAACCACTGGTGCCTGTCTACCTCCCACAAAATCTCAGAAATCTCTTCTCCTAATGACCTGTAAATGTGGAGGCAAAAAGAAAGCAGATATTGTAGAGGAGAAGGCACAGCAAAGACAGATCTCTTTCCCCAAGCAGAGGTGTAGGCAGTGTGGAAGGGGTCAGGATTTGCAACCCAAACAATGCTTTCTCCTTTAGGCAAGCACAGAAACAGAGCTCTCCCTGTCTGTCCCTCTGCATAGTCCAGGCTGGAAAATGTCACCCAGTTATTTCTACTTCATGCCTGAAAGTAGAAGCCCTAATATATTGAAGGACCTAAAAGTAAGGGGAAAATATACCCTGTCCTAAGATCTTTGGGCAGATCATTGTTCTTCCAAAAACCTGTGTCTTATTTTTGCTCTGAATTAGGTGGCTTCAGCTTCTGTTGGATCTTGTTCTGCCCATTTCCAAAAGACTGAGTAACTCTGCTATTAAAATCCCTTTTTCCTCAGTGGTGCTTGCAAGTTGTCATTATATCATATTAAAGAGATTGGTTTTCAATCTGTAAAGTGGTCTCTGCAGATATCACTAGCGGCTCTCAACTCCACTTCTTTTAAAAGTTTTACATCTTTCTGAAACCTGGATGCCAAAGTTTTCAGCAGGTAGTTGAGTCACTAATAGTGTATATATCTGGTTTTGATTTATGCTTTATGTAACCCATTTGTATATTTCTGGTCTAGGTCTGTTCACATAACGGAAAGTTTTTCAGCTTTTGAGTCTAGCAGGACTATTACAACTTTTTTCCCAGTCATGGCATTTCAGAACAGCCTCTGTCTCACATCCTACATCAGTCTCTCTCAATATGAGCTATTTTTCCTTCTGTGTGGCTCTACTGAAGCACATATTATTCAAAGAATATTGCCCCAAGCAGATTATCCAGTTCAATCTGCAAATGATGTTTCACCAGCTGTGAGTCCGCTGACCAGTTTTTGTTTATCTGCAAATACGCTGCAATGTCAGAATTCAGCTAGGGATGCAGCCTTCCTTCTGTTGTTTGCAGCAAAGACAGGTAGATGAGAGATGAGCAGCAGGCTTTGGCCATGGCTGGAAGGCATGCAGGAGAAATGTGTGATCAGAGCTGCTTGTGCTGCCCAGACACCTCATCTGCAGCACACCCCATCCATCACGTGCCACCTTCCTTGCATAGGAGCCTTTGTAGCAGAGCAGAGGCCCTGGAGCAGCTCCCAGGTGAGCTGGTGCATCCGTCCTTCCTATGAACAGCCTGGCAACCTGCAGAGTGGCAGCTCCTCTCCCGAGACCTCCTTGGGGATCTGGCAGCTGCTCAGTTGTGTCCATGATGAGAACTGGTAGATCCATTAAGACATGTCAGAAATTGATGTAAAAACTTCATGTGGAAGTTGGTGTAGAAAGGAAGCTTGTTCCAGTCTGCTCTTCTTGTCCCTGCTTAAGGATTTTTGTGAAAGGAAAATGTCAAATATCTGGGAGAAGAGCTTTTACAATATTTTGTATCTTCATTGCAAGTCCCATAGCATTAATACTGTTATCTCCTGATTTTGGAGCCAGGTGAGTAGCTGGCATCTTCACTTACTCCTCCTGTCTTAATTATCTCACTTTTTGGCTTGAGATTTGGGGGGGTTTAAGCTTTAAATATGATTTGAGTGCAACAAAAAGGCCTGAACTAAGATAGATGCAAAATATGTTACAATATTTTTAAACCTTATGACTTTTAGACCCTATTCATAAATCAATCTCTACAGGATAAGAACTTCTAAGGTGACAACATTCCAGTTGAGCAGCCTGAGGCTCCAGGAATTGGTTGACTGAAGGCATCCTGTCAGGGTCATGTCACTGCCTGGTAGTGAACATTCACAGAACGGCCTATGATTGTTTTCTCTACATTTCTCCTGATATTGCAGGACTTTATTCATGGAGGCTACTCAAAATCCTTGGTCAAAGAGCTCAAGTTTATGAACATTCATTTCTTTGCTTCTGTGTTGCATCTGATCCAGCTGTATTCAACTCAAATGTGTATTCCAGAGCCACCCAACATGTACATGAAGACCATTAATGATAGTGAAGAGAGTTTCCAAATATGCCAATAATAATGTATAATTTCTCTTGTTAATACAGTTGATCTGCCTCAGTGATAATTATCTATGCCTTATTTCTAATTTGATAGCTTCTGGCTTTCATTTCTAGACACTTCCTGCTTTACCAATTTGCTTTTCCTGGGTAAAAAGCATCTTTTGACATCACATGTTCCTGTATTACATATTTACTCACTATTCAGCTCTGCTGCACTGCCAAGACCCTAGACCTTGGTCTCTCCTGAAGAGAGAATTCTCCTGGGCTCCTAGGAAGCTCTGAGATGTGCTGCAGCAAGGTGGGATGAGCGTCTCTGCTTTGGGTTCAAATGTTGATTGGTCCCTTTTTGGGGAGATTCCTTGCAGAAGGAGTTGATAGCTTTTCAGGGTGCAAGAGCAGCCTGGTCTCGCTATGAGGGGACTGATAACCTCTGTGAGCTCTGCTATATTCAGCTGAGTGTCAAGTGCAGGGCAAAACGATTGGAACTTGTCAGAAGAGAGCCTGCAGCATCCTCACCTCTTGCAGGAAAACTGTTCCCCACCAGAGGCTCTAAGTACCTTTCACTCTTCTCCCTGATAAAGCTGCCTCTCCTCTGTGCACAGGCTACAGCAGATTTCTCCAGCCCTACAGCAAAGCACAGTGGGGCCTCCACTTGGAAGAAAGCTCTCAGAAGTGAGGCCATCACCTCTGCACTGGAAGGCTGATTTGAAGTGTTGGCACTGGCCAGGGCTTCCCAGTTTCTCCCAGAGCAGTTCTGGGCCGGATGTGTGCCCCTTCCTTCTCCACCCCAATTCTTCCCATGCTCTGTGCCAGGCAGGATGTGCAGGCTCTGCAGGGCTGCCAGCTTTGTCACAGGCTCAACAGCCTGTTCAGGAGGGACTGGGGAGAGCACACTGAGGACAACAGCCCCTGCCACCCAGGCCATGTGTTTTCTTTCCGTGGCCCAACCCTGAAGAAATGGATCTTTCTTTTGATGCACACACAAGCCTCTGTATGCTTATCATAATAAAGACTTCTGAACTGATGCCAGAAAAGTTTTCATGCTCTATTCCAGAAGATGGGAGTTTGCCAGTAGTGGAATGGAGTTTCTGGCACTAAACATGGAAAAGTCCTGAGATGTGATTTCCTCTCTTGCCAGTTCCTTGATGCTCTCCTAGGTCAGCTCTGAAGTTGCCGGTGTATGGGTAGCATCCCCTCCTGGTAGAGAAATGCACTGTGATTTTTCCCAGTCTCTGGGCACCTCACAAGGGTTGCCTCACTCCTGGGAAGGCTGCTAGTGCTGAAACCACATCTTTCTTTGCCTTAGCTTCATCTTGACCTGCTCAAAGCAGTTTGCTCTCCCAAGCTGTGAACTGGCCAGAAGCAGTCCTCTGTTCTCAGTTTCCCTCTCCCTCCCCCAGACAGCCCCATTGGCATGGTGCTGGCACTGCAGCCCACCTTCCCAGCCCTCCAGGCAGGTTAAGGACAGTGGGCCTGTGCCCCTTGCTCACAGGGCTGCGTGTCTCCATGTGCAGCCACAGCCACAGTCTGCCAAAGCAAACAATGCTTGTCACAGTTGTTATTTTTCTTTCAGCATGAACTCCCCACAGTTCTCTTATTCTTATGGCTATTAGCTTGAACTTTCCTCAGATTTTCCAATCTTCCTCTGTTAACAATATGGCCAGAACTAAAGTGAGCCCATCAGATGCAGTATTTCCCTGGTCAGTTCCAGCAGAATCAGCTCCTTGCCGCCTGTGCCCATCAGCAATGCAAAGGTGGGGAGACAGGGCTTGTATTCACATTCCTCTCACTCTCACCACAGTGGCACAGAGCATTCCTTCTCCCCTTCTTTCTCCCACTGCCTCCAGGTCTCTCCATTTTTGAACATCTGGGTGGGGGGTGGGGGAGTGTATGATGCATCCCAGATGTATTTGCCATATTTTCCAAATGAAGTTTTTATTTACTTCCTTCACTGTTTCTAAGTCCTAATGTCTTCTATTGTTTGTTTCTGCTTTCATCAGTGTTTTCAAACATGTCCAAATTTATTATTGTCATTTTCCTAGAATGTATAAAGGCCATGCTAGGTCATATCAAGCAGACAGTTCATTGGCACTCATTTCCAGCTGAGGATTTAGAGGGACAGTTAGGGAAACAGCATGATCCTTTTCTTCTACCCATCAGGGGCTTAGGAAATTTGTGATCAAATTATTACTTCAAGATCTGATAACTGCAGGTGACCCTGTTCTCTATGAATTCATCTTACCCTCTTTTGCATTTAACTTTCAGTTTTGATGATGTAATTTCAGAGTGTCTTTTGTGCAAAACTATTCCCTTTTGTATGTTTTAAACCTGCTGCCTGATAAGAGGCTGCCTCCATCCCTGTGCTATGGATAACACTGACTAACTCTCCAGACCTAGTAGTGTGTGTGATGTGTTCTCCACCCACATGAGATTTTGCCCATGGCTCCTTTTTAGGTTCTAATGCTCTGGCATTTCTTTTTTTACTGTTGTTTCTCACATCCGTGTTGCTTGCCTCCATAGGAAAGTGAGAGCTTTCCTCATGTGTCCCTTGGCAGCACTGCAGTTCCAACTCTGCCACTACTGTCCCAGGCTACTGAAAGCAGCCTAGGAAGGGAAAGGGGAGGGTGAAACTGGCCAAACATGGGGTTTGCACTATTTTACTATAGCCCTGCCTAGCACTCTCTGGCTGCCAAGTAACACTGGGTAGTGCTGGAAACCTGCCAACAACTCTTTCACATGGCCTTCATTGCTGAAGCCTGGGGAAAGAGCAGCTCCACGGGAACCCAGCAGCCCTGGGAGCAGGGCTGTGAAGGAGGTGAAAGCATTTCCCACTGCTGTTGTGGGCTGCCAGTTTTGCAAAATACCACCAGACACGTCTTGCTGTAGAGACAAGAACTGTCCTACCATACCCATGCTCTCCTTGCCACGGCTTCAGCTACTTTGCCTTGGTTTCTGGCATGTGCTGGGAGAAGCTGTCCCCTCCAGCACTGACTCTTGTTAGCTAGCTACAGATGGGTGCAATGCCATTCCTGCTGCTGAACGTGTGCTGCTTTCACACTAGCTGGCAAGCAGGGATATGGGGGGATGACACTTACCTAGGAGAAGGTACCAATATGGTTACTGCTATCTCTATGTATCATATTTTTCTTTTTATGTTCATGTCTTCAAAAGGCTATTTTTGGGGTTAAGAGGAAACTGTGTAGGTGGGGCAGAAGACCAAGAAGGCAAAGGGTCAAGGAGAGAAATGACCACTATGATGGTGCTGGGAATGTTGGATATGAGAAAGTCTGAATAAGCCAAGTCGTGAGCAGGCAATCCATGTGCCTTGACCACCAGCCTGCACTGTTTGCATCAGAGGCTATCAACAGCAGCTAGAGGCTATAAACAGGGGAGTCCCTGGTTTTACCCCTGCTTTTCCTGGAAAATTGAGGTAGAAAGACAGCACCTCAAGAAGACATGAAAAACAGGTAGGAAAGCACTGGGAGAGAATGCTTTGCTGGGTGAAGCAACCCTTGACACAGAAATTAGAGCAATGCATCACAGATCCACCTCAAGGCTGGAGGGAAAGCAAATGTTTGGTATGGCACTGAGTATCCTGGGCAGCCCACTATTGATGGCCAGAGGAGCTTCTCTCTAGCATGGCCCGGATAGAGCAGAATAGCATCTTCATGTTATCAAAGGGAGCCTTTCGCTTGGCCTGCCCCATGATAGTAAATTTTTCAGTTATTTGTGTTCATGTTTGGTCTCTGTGTCAGGGTTGTCCTAGTAAATACCTCTGTCAGAGCCACTGGGCTGCTGGAGTTTAGCCTTGTGGGGCAAGGCTGCCTCTGGCAGTGGGTAGAGCGGGGACCATGAGGTGTCTGCTGCCCACTGGGATAAGCAGCGGGGTGGAGAGGAACCAGCTTCCTCTATATCCATTAACATTTTTTGTTAGCAGACAGCGGGACATTTTAATTCGTCTTTGCGCAGTTATGCAATGTCCTCCTGCCCAGCGCCTGTCAGAACTCTTTCTCATGCCCCCTCCCAGAGCAGGGTGGAGTGATAGCAGATTTTCCCAGCGGAGCTCTCCGTGATGGTTGCTGCTCGGCAGACAACATCGCACGCTGCTCGGCAGACAACATCGCACGCTGCTCTGCCCTCTCCTGCACCGTCCCGGCTCGGCAGTTCGGGCAGCCAGCTGTGGCGAGGGCGATGCAGTGCCTGCCTCTGTTTGTCCCGGGAGCGATGGGATCGCCGGGCGCGCAGGGCCGGGCAGAGGGGCCGACTGGCCCGAGCAGCCCGCGGCGGTGCCTCCTCCGCTTCCCCAGGAGAGGGGGCAGGAGAGGAGGCGCGGTCCGGGACCGGGCTCCGGGCTCCGGGGAGGAGCGGCGGGAGCTGCCGCGCCGGGCAGGGCTGCGGGACGCGTGCGGGCAGCGAGGCCGCCCCGGCGCTGTCCCCATCCCCCCGGCTCCTGCCCCAGGAGGAGGCTCGGTGACGGGCAGCCCCCCGCCCGCCGGCCCCTCTCCTCTCCTCTCTTTTCCCCCGCCCGCCGCTCCCCGAGCGCTTGGCAGCCCCGACGCCCTCCGCAGCCAGTTTTCCAGCCCTGCGCTTCTTCTGCGGTGACAGCCAGTGGCTGCGGGGCCCTGTTTGCTGTCCAGTTAATAAGTGAGCTGGAGCGGGGGAAACTCCGCGGCCGGAGGAGCGCGGGCTCGCCGGGGGCCGGGCGGGCGGGCGGGGGGAGCATTCCTGCGCCGCGGGGCCCCGGCGCGCCCGCTCCCGCCGCCCCCCGCCCGCAGGTGCAGGGGGCTGGCACTCGGCAGCTGGAAAGAGCTGGTTGGAGTTTGCACTTTAAGCTCCCGGCGGGGAGGGAGCCGAGGCTGGGAGCTGGTCCGGGCGCCCAGCGCCGCGGGAGGATGGCGCGGTGGCTGCGGCCCCTGGTAGGAGCCCTGCTCCTGCTCGAGGGGGCGGCCGCCCTCAGCTTCCTCCACCATCGCTACGAGGAGCTGGTGCAGGCCCTGTTCCGCGTGCAGAGCCAGTGCCCCTACGTCACCCGCATCTACAGCATCGGCCGCAGCGTCGAGGGCCGGCACCTCTACGTGCTGGAGTTCAGCGACTACCCGGGCATCCACGAGCCCCGTGAGTACGGGGGACGGGGACAGCGGCTCGGAGCGGACGGGCTCCGCTGGCACACTGCCTGCCACGCGGCGTGCTGGGGCGCCGGGCGGGGGTGTCTGCCTTTCCCGGCAGGACTCCCGGCACTGCCCAGGGTCTCCGCCAGGGACCCCGCAGCCAGCCCAGGGACCCCGCAGCCAGCCCAGGGACGGCTCGCCCAGCCCGCACACATGCACCGTGCCATGCCCTGTGCTTGCGGGAGCTGCAGCGGGGCCCAGGCGCGTACTTTGGACGGAGCTCCGAGTTTTCAAATCAATCTAATGCGAGAACGCAGGCGAGGCCATCCCAGCACCCCTGCCCTACCACACTCCCTCCCAAAATAGTGTTGTTCAGGCGAGGAGAGCAGCAGCCACCCTCTGCCCTGTGCTGCTGGGTGGTGACAGGACGGAAAGTGTTCGGCCCTTTCTCCTCCAGAAGGCAAAGCCAGGAGGACAGCAAGCGGGGACCCCGGCAGAGAGGGCGCTGGGCTTCTCCAGCCCCCCAGCCCCGTGGGCAGCGCAGCCCCATGACAGGCGGACTCGGGGATCTCCACCTGCTGCCACGTGGCCCTGCGGAACCTTGGCAGCAATGGCCCTTGAGCTGCTGCCTGTGCAGCTTGGAGATGCTGCCGAGCCAGACCTTGCTGGCAGCCAGGTGCCCTGGGCGGGCTGAGGAGAGCAGCTGCCTCTGCAGGCTGGGGGCTGCACACAGGGCTCCCTCGCATCCCTGCCTTGTGTCCCTGAGCTGCGGATAAGGACAGAGCTGTCTGCAGGATCTTTTCCCTTTCCAGGTCCGAGTTGATGTGGTTAAACGCAGGGGCTGGTAAGTGCAGGCAGCCTAGTCACACGGACAGCTGACTGCAAGGCTGCAGGGGTGTGCAGAACCTGTGCCCCCCTCAGTGGAGCAGCCCCCACAAATCCCACAGCACTCCATGTCTAGCAGCACTGCACTGAGGGCATACTGCTCCAGTCCTGTGGCTGTAGTATCATTTTCAGGAATGCCAGGAGGTGGAATGGGAGGCTTCCCACCTTGACTACCTCTGTGACAGCCCTGTTCAGTGCTGGGAAACCTGTGTGGCACTGAGGGCATCTGGGGTACCTCTACAGTACATCAAGGGCTGATTGAAAGCATGGAGTGAGCAAAGGGCACTGGCAATGCACCATTGGATTTTAGACTTGCAGAACCACATTAAAGCAAGGAAGGGCTGTAGGAGATGACTCAGATCTCCCCTGCCTCAGGCAGGCTGCATGGACCTGTGGCTCTGCTTGTAGCATGGGCCACTGTCAGGCTGGCACTTTCAGCTTGTAGCATGAGGAATTTAGGAAACTGTGGGTTTCCTTGAAGGACATGAAAAGTAACTCTGAAAAGCAAGATCAGAGTCAATGGGCTTACATGCAGTAATTAGAGTTTGTGTATCCATATGCATAAAGTTTAGGGGTGTGCATACTGAAAAAGGCTGACAAATCCTGTTGCAGACTCAAACAAAGCAGAGAATCCTTGCTGAAACCTTATTTTTTTTAAGGCTGCACATATGCCCGAGATTTTTCTGTATTTTTAATAACTGGATTATCTAACTAAGTCAGTTTTCATGTCCCTGAAATCTAGCAAGATCAAAATATGTTGCTCACCTCTGGTGTCTTGCACTGAAACACAGCAGTCAAAAAACATGGAAAAGCAAAATTTTTAGCTAATATAATATTTTTTTTTTTTAAAGGCACTGGGGCTTTTGCAAGCAGCAGCTCACAATCTGGGGATGTGATGCCTTTTACCCCAGGGATCCTGATAGACTTTAAGGCTGCACATGGTGCCACTGCAAGTCTGATCCCTACTGGTGTCCAGAAAGCTCATGGTGCAAGGGGAGTCTCAAGATCTGGCAAGCCAGCATTTACAACAACACCCTTTTTTTTCCTGACTCTTTCATGTGACAGTCAGACTCCCTTTTTAACTTAATTCCCCTGTTGTCTTTCGTTCCACCAATGCTGGCTTCAGCCTGCAATGTGACATTTTATTTTCCCACAAGTAACTGCTTTAAAAGGCGTCTGGGAAAGCACAACCTGTCTCTCACATGTCCTGCCTCTCCTTCAGCAAAGCAGCAAGTCCTGTTCCAGGCACTGTCTGCCTGTGGTCTCCAAGTCTGTATTTTGAGACCTTATTTTAGAAAAGTCAGTGGCAAGAGACCTTTTTGGTCATACTGGAGCTGCCTGAAGGACAGTTTGATCCATATTCAGCTCAGCTGCTGAAGGTTTCTCCAGGGTCTTTTCCCTTGAGGGTGAGGAAGACCTTAACCTTGACCTTGGAGGCAAGTAAAGGGGAAGGAGACATGCAGACATGAGAATGAGCCATGCTGGTGAGAGGCACTGAGAGCAAATGTAGAAGAGCAGAGGTGGGAGAAATGGTCTGTCCCCTCCACTGCCACCTACCACAGAGCTGTGAGGCCCTGGCAGCCCAGGGCAATCCTGTCAGTGCTCCCTGCTCCTTTTGTGCTGCCTTTCACCAAACCAAGACCAAACCACCATCAAATACTCTTCCTGTGTGCTCCAAAGGCCCAAAGCAACCTGGAGGAGAGTCTGAGCTGCTCCCAAAGTGCTGTGGCAAAATGAAGCAGAGCCCATATGAGAAATGTGCCACTCTCCCTGAGGTTTGCATTTCCCAAGGGAAAGGTCATTTTAGACCGGTTCTTGGGTGTCCCTTGGGCTTCTCTGGGGCTCCCTGTGGTAGGCATTTGCTCTTCCCCCCTGTTCCAGCCCTGGCTGATGGCGTCACTCTCTTGCTCTCTCCAGTGGAGCCGGAGTTCAAGTATGTTGGGAACATGCATGGGAACGAGGTGCTGGGCCGTGAGCTGCTGCTGCAGCTCTCTGAGTTCCTGTGCGAGGAGTACCGCCGGGGCAACGAGCGGATCACGCGCCTCATCCACGACACGCGCATCCACATCATGCCCTCCATGAACCCCGACGGGTACGAAGTGGCTGCCAAACAGGTACCAGGCAGTGATCATCTCCTCCACATGGGTAGGGGCAGAAAGCCCTTCAAATCCCTTTGGGATCCTCTTCACTGCAGCTAGAAGGAGAGGGAATCCTTTCTTTTCATGCCCTGCCAAATTTGTCCCTGTCAACTGCTGTCACTGCTTCTCACCTCCCAACCAAGGGCTCATGCTGTGTGTCCTGTTACTGGTGTCCTTGACAGCTGATGGAGAAGACTTCCCATACCTGTCTTACCCTCCTTAGAACTTATTTGTCACAGAAGGGTCACTGCAAATGTACTGCCCTAGACTGGGAAAATGACAGCTGAATGCCACTGTCATAAGCAGGCAGAGACATGAGAGATGGGGGGTAGAAATAAGCCCCTTATTCCTCCTGAAAAAAAATCACCCATTTCTTTGTGCTTCTAGACCTCAGGGAGGTTCCAGCTAAAGCAAATTGTTTATTTGTCTTGTGGCTTACTCTGTCTCCCTGAAAAATGAAGATATTGTTATTGATTTTCCCTGTCGGTACCAATACTCCGTATTGCCCTGCCAGCAATAACACATGTTGTAACTCATAGGCACTGAAGTGCTTTTACAGTCTCTGCTTCTCTGATGCCCAACCTGACTGCACCCTGCCTGCACAGGACTCACCCTTGTGATGCACCTTTGCTCCACAGGGCCCAGACAGCAACGGGTACTTGACAGGGAGGAACAATGCCAATGGAGTGGACTTGAACCGCAACTTCCCTGACCTCAACACGCTCATGTACTACAGCAGGGAAATCAGCGGGCCAAATCACCACATCCCACTGCCTGACAACTGGAAAAGCCAGGTACCAGTCTGGGATACCGTGAGGGCTAGAGCATGCTCTGAGAGTGTCTCAGCATGCAAGCAAATACTCTGTCCTTTGGCTTGCACTGTGCTTGTTTCCTTCTCTGAGACTTCTGCCTGCAGAGAAATGATGCAATCCTGGTCCCATATCACAGCTTTCCCCTCTGCCAGGAGAGGTTGACATCACAACCAGCTTGAGGGAGCAGGCTGCAGTGCACAGGGCAGAGGAGGTGACACATGCTGTGCCTCAGGTTTTGGGGTTGTTCTGGGGAGCTGCTTTGTGTATCAGGGCAGTTGGTGGAGAACAAAGGAAGCTGCAAGAGCTGCAGCAGACACGTTGCAGGACAGAGTCTGACATGGTCAAACACACCACAGCCTGGCATGGAGCAGCAGCTGGCACAGAGGTCTCTTCTCCCTGTCTCCTTCTCTCTTCTCCTTACAGGTGGAGCCAGAGACATTGGCTGTGATCCAGTGGATCAGCAGCTACAACTTTGTGCTCTCGGCCAATCTGCACGGTGGAGCAGTGGTGGCAAATTACCCCTATGACAAGTCCCAGGATCAGCGGTTCAGGAGCCACCGGCGCACGGTCAACACGCCTACCCCCGATGACAAGTTGTTTCAGAAGGTGAGCACGGCCATGCTGGGCAAGGACATTCCCTGGCAGGGTGCAGAGTGAGAGCTGGATGGGAGCTCTGGTCACTGCATCATGCAGGAGTTGAGCCAAGAAACGTGTTGGAAATAATCATTAGCAGACTACAGCATTTCTGCCAGCCACTGGCTCAGGAGCCAGGTCAGGGCAGTCCCACCCTGTGAGCCAGTCCCACCACAGGGACAGGCCAGTCTTAACCCTCAGGGGCCCCCTCCTTGTCCATGCTGTGCTTGGTTTCCCCATAACCCAAATACCATTGGTATGCTCAATAACAACCCGCTCTTCCAAATCTGGAAGCTGCACTCAGCTTTGCCATACCATCTTAGAATGCATAGGGATTTTTCCTAGAGAGGTAACTGGGGCCTGCTGATACCAGGATAAGGGAGGTGGGTGCCCAGCAGGGGCTTATAGATTGCGAAGAATAAAAACTACAAAAAATAGCAAGAGTTCCAGGAGTATAAGCAGACATCAGGGAATGCATCAGTCTGTGCTGTTGATCCTGTTAGTGCTAGCTGAAGCTCGTGGTATTTTCTTTATTATCCCAGAAAACAGTCATTCAGTTATTGCTTCCATTAGGAAATATCCAGCACAAGAAAGATGTAAGTCTGCCTCAGAACAGTTAATGAGAAAAATAAGTCCAAGCTGGAGTTCAGCCTTCTCTGGAAGCAGAATCTGCAGGGCCTTGTCAGGACCTCCTGGGATCACGGCTGTGCTTAGACCCAGATGTAAAGAGGCTGCAGTCTGGGGCGTAGGCTAATGATACCCACATGGTCTCAGGACTCAGAAATGTAGAGAAGTAACTGTTTTCCTGCTGACAGAATGACATTACACTGGAATCTGAACCATAATATAAGGGTATAGAGTTTGCCTTAGAAAAGGCAAATGCCAGTCTCTTAAACTGTGTCTTACGCAAAGGACTGGATTTGGATGCAGCAGCCCAGTTTTAGCCCTGCCTTCATGTCTAAAAATAAACAGTAATCTTAATAAGGGCAACAAAAAAGTCATTGCTAGAACCAGAAGTTGCCCAGAGTCTTTCCTAATTGAAATTCCCCCAGTATGTATCTGGCATTTGCCAGGACTGATACTGGTTACTCTTCTTCAGATATCCTTTTCCTCTGTTAGTGACATTTGCTGTGTGGGTCCAAGTGTCCCTGCGTAGGTCCAGCGCCCTCTGCTCGCCCTCTTCCCTTCTTCTCCATAGGAGCAGGGCAGAAGCCCTTTTGCTATCAACAAGCTTCCAGCTTGCTAGGTTACTGCTCTTCCTCCTTCACCTTTATCTGCATACATCTTGTAGAGGTCCTGGGCACCTCGTGTTGTATTTTGTGGCAGGAAAATGCAGGAACTCTGTCCTGTCTGACTTCCCTCCCGTGCTCCTCAGCAAAGGAGGGAGCATGTTTTGTCCAGAGCCAGGCAGGTTCTCCAGCCGTGCGTGACCACTGGCTGCTCTCCCCCTAGCTGGCCAAGACCTACTCATATGCCCACAGCTGGATGCACCGGGGCTGGAACTGTGGGGACTACTTTGCTGATGGCATCACAAATGGGGCATCCTGGTACTCGCTCAGCAAAGGTAAGGGCTGGCCAGTGAGCACCCCCCACAGCAAAAAGAAGTGAAGGGATAGACAAGAAACCTCAGGACAGGATGGGCTGGGGAAGGACTGTGGCAATAGGATTGTGCCTATTACTAGACACCATTCTGGTGTTTGTATCTCAAATCAGGAAATGGCTTGGGAAGGAGCCACAGAAATAGCTAAGGTCTGCAGAGACCTTCATCCTATGTGCTTCTAGACAAAGGAAACATTAATCTGTTAGTGTATTTGAAAATCCTACGGAGTAATTCCATCAAAACCCAAAACTGTGACCAAAGGGAAGGCAGCTGCTAGTTCCTGAAAAATTTCATTTAAAAAGGCACAATGAGGAAACTAAAAAATTAACACAGAAGACTAGACAAAAGATTGAAGAGGAACTGGAAGATATATATATAGGCCCCCTGTGGTACCCAACTTCCCTGGGCTTCTGAAGGCAGGTTGATGAATGATCCAGATGAAAGAGAGAGTTGGCAGCTACAAGGAGAGGGCTGCATGGGTGGAGAAGGCTGTAGTTGCACTGTCATGCAGGGAAGAGGCTGCACCTGTGGTGCAGAGAAGGAGAGTGAGATGGTTCTGGTCAAAGAAAGACAGGCCAGGATGATGGGACATAAGAATAGGAAGGGAGCCATGCCCTGGCCATAGGCTATTCTTTTCCAGGCATGCAGGACTTCAATTACCTCTACACCAACTGCTTTGAAATCACCCTGGAGCTAAGCTGCAATAAGTTTCCCCCCGAGGAGGACCTGGAGAGGCAGTGGATGGCCAACCGGGAGGCCCTTGTGGCTTTCATTGAAGAGGTAAAGGGACAGTCCTGAGACCTACACCCTTCTGCAGATCCCCATGGGCCCTGGTGGTAGGTGCCTAGTAGGCACCAGGAGTGGAAGGGAGTTGGCTATGGAGTTCATGGGGTGCTCTTGTTGGTGGCCTTTGGGGAAGCTGTTGTGTCCTAGACTGGCTCTGGTGGGGACAACCAGGATCACCAAGGGTACAGGAAAAGGAAGGGTTGTCCCCAAAGCTCTGCCTTGCTTGGCAATACCCTCTTGAGCAAAGGACGGGCCTTGACCCATCCGTCTGTCTCCCTCCCTGCAGGTTCACCAGGGCATCAAAGGAATGGTGTCAGATGAGAACAACAATGGCATTCCAGGAGCAGTGATTTCTGTCCAGGGAATCAGCCATGACATCACTTCTGGTGGGTTGTCGATCTGCTTACGCGTCTGAATATGTGAGTGAAGCTAGCAGGCAAGGCTATAATGTGGGAGGCCATCATGGTTTGCTTCCCAAAGACAGTAGAGAAATATGACATCACTTGAGAAATATGACTTATCCTTATCCTTGACTTGGGTGGGCTTAGGAAAGACAGAGGCGAGAAATGGAATGCAAACCTTCAGAAACTCAGCTCCTATTTTATCTGGGAGGGACAATTGACAATATACTCAAGCCTGTAAGTATCTGCAAAGAGTTGAAATAGATGATAGCAAAGAACAATGAAAAAGGAAAGAATTGAAAGACTGGAAGTTCATGCCAGACAAGTTTAGACTGAGAATTAAGTGCCACTTTCCCATTATCCAAGTTGTGGCTGTTTCTCCCCTGCTGGCCAATTTTAACCTTTCCATGAACACCCTCCTCGAAGCAGACCGAACGTTATGGACTGCCTGCAGAAAGTAGCTGACATTACAGCTCTTCAGAGGTCAGACTATGAAATCATTACAGCTCCTCCTGGCTATAGGTCTGTGAGTCAGTTACACTAATATTTGGCACTTATTATGCCAACCTGCATGGGAAAGGGGACTGTGGAAAAAATCACAGAATCGCAGAAGAGCTGGCTGTCAAGAGCCCTCTGAATTCATCTGTCCATCTTGGAGCAAGATTTTCCCCAGAATTGGCTCTCTCCAGCCAATTCTCACTGAGCCCAAGGATGGATATAACTGCTGCCCTGTGCCAGGGCTCTACCACATTCAGGTGAAGCTGTGCTCCTAGATCCACCCTGAAGAAATTTGCATTTCCCATCCAGTTACATAGATGGATTATACTCAGATTTCCAAACTAATCCATAATGTGGTGTTATTTCACTGTTGGTCATTCCCTGTCCCTAAGCACACCAGAGCACAGTCTGTCCAATTGCTTTTGGGGCTTTCTTATGCAGGGAATCGGGGAGCAGCTGAGCTTATGAGCAACTAAAACCTGCTAACCCCAATGTGGCAAAATTGTGCATGGCAGGAATTAGATTGTGCTATGCATAAGGAGTCAGACTGGAGCTGTGATTGTCCTTAGGTCTGCTGTCATCTGACTGGTGAGTGCTCAGCTTTGCAGCCCCTCTACACAGGCACAGCCAATGCTGCTTTACAGTCCTCTTTCATTTGGCTTTTACTTGCAGACTGACCTCTCGTCCATGGCACTAATGAGGCACCACTTGCAGTGTACCAATGTGAATCCATCCTTGAGGTAGCCAGCAGATATTGGAAAAAAAATTCTAGGTTTTGAAGGCTGTACATCCTAGAGGAAGTAACTCAGCAAGAATTACTGGTATGACTTTTGCTTAGCTATGTGAGCATCCTGAATGCTTTCTTTTCCTACCTTGTGTTCCAGGTGATATGGGAGATTATTTCCGGCTGCTGCTGCCTGGCACTTACACTGTCACAGCCTCTGCAGAGGGCTACCAGCCCCTGACAGTCACAACAACAGTGGGCCCAGCTGCACCTTCATTGGTGAGTCAGGCTGCATAGTCACAAGGGTTTCTCAAAATATCTTCTCCCCAGGGAGAAAGAAATGTGGTGAGGGATGTCTAGTGAGCAGCAGAGAAAGGAGATAGGATGTAGAGCATTTCCCGTGGCTATAGGTTGTCTGTTTTGGCAGACAAGGTTCTAAACAACTCACAGCAGGAGCAGAGTGAAGACAATGCCATGTGCCTTTCAATTCCTTACTGAGGCCTTGCAGCTGCACTGGGCTCCCATACCAGCTCCTGTGTCCTTCTGCCTCTTGGCCATGGGAGAGCTCCTGGCTGGCTGGCATTGCTGCTCTTCAGCTCTCCCTCCATCCTCTTCACTTTCCAGGATGAGATGATGTGGAGACAGCATCTGTTCCCTGAGGTCCATTTATCCTCCTAACTTTGTGGGTTTCAGCATTCTGCTGTCATCTGCATTCTGCCTGGGACCAAACATGTTATCAAACTCACAGCAAGAGGCTGAAGTCTGCCTTTCTTTTTGCTGAGAGCACTGAAGACAAATGGGAACTGAGTGCCAACAAAGAACAGCCAAGCACCTTCAGGAAATGAAGTGTTCTTGACACTGGTGTGTCTCCTACAGTGCCTTTCTGAGGGCTGGCTGGACAACTAGAAATTGGTTGTAAAAAGAGTGGGTGGTGATCCCTGCCCCTGCTCTTGCCCTGTGAACATGGTGGAACCACATTTGCAGGCTCCTCAAAACACCAGCAGGACCTCTCGCCGCCCCCCCCCATGTCTGTGGGATCCTGACACATCATTTGCTTCACTGTACGTACACTGGTCAGGCTCTGCTGTAAATACACTGTGGTTGTTCTCCCACCTTCCATCGCTTCATCCCACTCTGCCCAGCCTCTGAAATTCCTCCAGAGCTGCCCTCTCCTCAGGATCAGAAACCTTCTAATTTTCATACTAAATTTATTTATGGTTAGTTTATGCCTATGTGTTCTTATGCCAATGTTGTGCTTTAAATAACTCCTTTCTTCCCTGGTGTTTATTCCCTGGTATATTTATAGGGAGCTGTCAAGCCCAGTCTTTTGTTTTGCTAGGTTAAGCACCCAGCTCTTTGGGTTTCCTTTTTAAAACAGATTTTCTTTTTACGGTGTTACTGCGGAAGACTGATTTGTTCCATGATGGTCTGAGTTTTGCATATCTCCTCTCACAGCAGCCCTCCTGTTCCCATTTCTGCAACACCTCCCATACTCACTGTTCACCCCTTCCCTCCCCCAAGAAGCCCATGCAGCTCCATTCCAGTTTCACTTTTCTATATGGCCTCTCCATTCCCCATTTATCTAATGCTGTGCTTTGCACACTCCCTGTCCTCTTCTCCCACTTGTACCTGCTTGTGTGACTGTAGTGGATGGAGATTTCTTTCCCAGAATTGTTTTGCCTGGGTCCACTGGCAAAGGGCTGGTTGCTGAAAAACTGATGAAGCTGGCAAGATGCAATTGAAAAAGAACTGTCTGTCTTAAACCATCCTGCGGTATTAAATACTGACAGAGATGCAAAGCAATGCTGTGTCTCTACTCTCCGGTGAGAAAAGGAGAATAAAGAACAATAGCTCAGTCCCTTGCCATTTACAGCTCGTCTTCCAAACCATCCTAGGACATCACATTGCCACAGGAGTAACTCTGCATAAGAAATATAGTTCATTGTCAGTACATTTTCCACAGGAGGAAAAAATTTTACAGCTGCTTTAAGAACTGAGTTCCTTTAACAATGGCTGAGACCCCTTGTTGTTTGACTTGGTCCTAGGGTCAGCTTTGAAGGCAGAGGCAGCTCCTGCAGACCCCTGAGCCAGCAGGGCACACACACGGTGTTAAATGCAGTGATCTTTCTTCTTTCTCCAGGTGCATTTCCAGCTCAAACAAGAAGTAGTGAGGAAGCCTGTGGAGCGTAAAGCCTCAGGCACACGGATGAACAACAAAGCCCTTCAGAAGAAGGTGGTGCCAAGAGCCACCCGCCGGGGGACCCAAAGATGAGGACAGGTCATTTGGCTGAGAGCTGGGGAAGCCGTTTACATGAGGCCTGGCTGATGACTCCAGCCAGTGAACTTTCCAACAGTCCAGCATGAAACTCACCCAAATTATTAAATAAGGAAGTATTTAATCCCTGAGCAAATTGTGAAGTCATTCACAACAAAGTGTGCCTGGGCTACAGTTCCCTGGGCAATGTGTCTGTGTGTGCTGAGTTCTCCTGCACTTGCTCCATCTCAGAGAGCTCTGCTCCCTTTACTCCTGGACTGTTGCCACAGCCCATATTAAATGCCATTAGTGTATACCAGGGATAATGAATCCGAGCCTTGGTGTAAGCTGCACTCACAAACTGGGCACATGAACATTAGTCCTCTGGGTGCAAGTGTCATGCTTCTCCCTCAGATAAGGACACTTGCTGCCTGCAGATCCCAAAGCTAGGGGAAGGTCAGTTTTAGAGCAGGCAGTGATGTGAGCAGCTCTGAACACAGCTTGAACCATGTGCAGCACAGCTATTGCTGACTGGTAACTCTAGCAGGTGATGATTCAGTCATCTCTTGATCTTGATGTACAGATGAGACTTTCTAGTAGCTAGCTTGGATTATTTGTAGTCAGCTTGAAATTATACCTGCTGGCAAAAGCCAAGTATTATCTTGTCTCCTTGAGTCTTCAGACCCAAACAAGATGGCTTGCTGAGGGGTTTGCTCTATCCAACCCAAACTATTATTCTGTGCACAGGAGCATCTAGGTGAGATCTGACAACTGGTGATAAGTAGAAGTCCAACCCAGGTTATTTGGATGTTCCTTTGAGACAAATATACTGAACCTTGGTTCAATATGCACTTGGGGAAGTGTGGATACTTGATGCCAGCAGTGCGCTGTGCAGGTACAGCATAAGCTGTGCAAGTTTTAATTAGGGTAGGAGAGAAAGGATCCATAGTTCAGTGAGGCAGGCTCAAAATGCTGTTTAGGCTGTGTGGGCAGGTTTGAAATGGCAGCAAGAGTAGAAACAAAACTGGTTATTTCCATGGTAAAAATATCTTAAGCAAGCAAAACCTTTCTAGCATTCTTCATTGAAAACAAATAATTCCAGAGGGATAAACAGTATGCCCCAGTGATTTCTTTTTTCCTTGGGTGGTTATCCCAATAGACATCCCAATAGATCTCCACCATACAGCCATTGGTTACACCGTTTCTCTGTCTAAAGCCTGTAAAAAACGTCCCCCAAACATTTCTTTGCTTCCCCTCTTTTGTAAACATCATTTCTTGTGAGCAACCTGTACCACCCTACTGCAGACGCAATGTTCTGCACTTCACCCCTCACAGTCACATCCTCCTCTGTCTCTGCTACAAGATGCTGGTGGCATTTCCAGCATTAGCAGGACACACACACTCTTGTAGCTCTGCCTGCTAACAGAAGCTCTTTCTCTGCCATGCCTTTTCTTGCAAAGGCAGAGGAAGCTGTCCCTTGCAGGTTAATTATACAGGCTGTTGCAAAAAAGTGCCCAGAATGGTAATGCTCTTAACAGTGCCTGTGAGTGATTTTTGGTCTGCAGAAACCAGTCAGAACTGGAGACACTGGCCAGTTCAGCAGTCACAGCCAAAGCTGAATTCAAATTCTTTTTTTTTTCCTTTTTTTTTTTTTCTTTTTTCTGAGGCAGAAAGAAATGAAAAAGCATGGCAAGGCTGAGATGCTCCAACTTCTGTGTGGTTTAACACCTCTTCCACTGGCCAAGCCCAGCAGCATCACTGCAGATGCTGGACCCTCCTGTTGGAAGCCACGTGTCAGTGCACATTCACCCAAGGGTTTTCATGGTGGACATGCAGGCAGGATGAGGGAGGGCACCCTGCATCCCACGGCCTGGCCACATGCAGCATTTAGAAGGGTCTGCTGTCACCAAGTGTCCAGCCCATGTGCAGGAAGATATTGCTGCCCCCAACTACAGCACTCTGCTGGCTGAGCTGACTGCTGACTTCTGAGGATGTGTATGAAGCTGAGAGCAAGAAAAGAGTTTCCAGGGAGCAGCCTTCAGCTGGCTGTTTCAGCTGGGTGGTCTCTGGACAGGGTGATGCTGAGACCTGCCCCTGCTACCTGCATCCCAGCAGTGTCACAGGTCCTCTTGCTGAGCCTGCTGGCTGCAGGGTGCTCTCATGTTGCCCTCTTGTGGTCCTAAAAAATGTGGGACCGTCTCAATTCCACTTTCCAGGGCAGAGTCAGAGGAGGGAAACTCCTTCCCTAGAACAGGACAAGCATTCCAGGAGGCCACATCACTCACTTTTGCAGGCTGCTGTGGGGTTGGCAGTGCAGCAGAAAAATTAAGAGTCTCAGTCACAAGTATTTTCCCCTACAAAAGTGTTCCTGCAAGATACAACCCTCTGGAGGTCTCTCTCTCTGTGCTGGGATTTGTCCAGCTAATTCTCCTCCCAGCCCTGAATATTTTTGTGTTGAACAATTTGGTGGAGTTCCACTTGGTCGTGACTGAGCTCCCCACGTGAAAACATGGTTACAAAATGTTTCTGAGGCAGCATTTTTAAGCACACCCCTCAAAGGCTTGCCATGAGCTTCACCCCCAGTGTTGCAAGAAGTGTGGGCTAAAAAGGGCACAACCTTTGGATGCAATATCTGCAGGACAGGGACTTTTTAGCTTTTGAGGCTTCAGTCAAGGCAAAAATAGTTGTAAGGTTTGTGTCTGAAGACACACCAAACAGTCAATCTTGCCCATCTTCTCTGGGCCACTCGTGATTTTGTAAACCTCTTCCCCACACTATGTCCCTCTTCCAAGCTGAAGAGGCCCAGCCTACAGTTTTTTACTGTACAGTCTGTTCCCATGTCTCTGAGCATCCTTACCACCTGCCTCCAAACCTTCTTCCATTCTCTATTACCCTGAGATGAAAGGACCAGAACTGTGTGCAGACACTGGAAAACATTTAAACAAAGTGAAGCCAGGCCCAGGAAAGTGAACCAAAATTCTTATAAGCAAAGCTGTGAGGATCTTGGGCGAACCAGGAGGGCAGACAGAACTTGGCATGCAATACCTTCTCACTTCTGTAATTGTCATAGAAAAGGCAGAAAAGGGGAAATACAAATAAGTGAACTCAAAGAAAAATTAAGCAGCTTGGATGGGGATGTCAGCAGAGGAGAGTTGGTCACGGTAGCGACCTGAAAGGCTGCAGGAGGGATTGGGATGATGAAAAAAGCTCAAAACTTTCTTTGGCAGGCAAGAACAATAGAAATTTTGGGCCAGAGGACATCTAGAGCCCTGTGGCAGGGGCTGGTGTTCATTCTTCAGCACCAGTAAAGGGTCTACAAGCATCCACACCTGTAGGGAATAGAGCACCTGTGCAGCTTCAGGCTCCCTGCCCACGGCCTCGTGCCAAGGCAGCGGTGTGGGTCCCCACCTCAGGAGAACAGACGGGAATCGGCACCCAGCCTGTGCACGCACTAACACGACTCAGAGCCAGCATGCGACGGGTTCCGCTCACCCGCTCCTGGCTGGTGGCAAGTCAAGCTGAGATCTGTGTGGTTGCTATGGAGAACTGTAGCTAAATGCACAAACAAGTGCCAAACACTGGTAACTGCTCAGGAGGACTTAGAGACTCCGGGCTTTACAACGTGTTGCTGAGGGTTGGTATCCCTTGGGGCATGGAGGCTTTTTTTAGCCTGCCAGGAAATCCAGCGCGGGACCTACTATACTTGGTATGCCAGATCTTCTGTGATGCACAAACTGGCCCTCTCTGTCATGGATTTCTGCTGGGGAGCTATTTGTTTTTCTCCATCTTAATACTTTGGCATGATTTTACAATGTATCTAAGCAGCCAAGGAGGCTGCTAGCGGCAAAGCTGAGACTGCACCAGATGGACAGTGCAGACTCACGCGTTAGCTGCTGCCAAAGCCAAAGCCGAGAAGGCAGCGAGATTCCCACCGGCGGCAGCGGGGAAGGGGAGCCCCGGCAGTGTGTGCGAGGCGGCAGCGCGCTGTGGGGAAGCACGAGAGGGTTGGCACAGGCAGATCCCTGCCGTGCTCCGCGCCGGGCTCCGGGGTGCTCTGCCGGCAGCCTGGCCCGGCGCACGGCGCGCGAGTGCCGTGTCCAGCCCGGGGGTGGCTGCACCGCACGTCCCGGCTGGGCACCGGCTGGGCACCGTGTCCCGCGGCGGGCTGGCCCCGTGGGCCGCCGGGGAAACGCGCCGCAGCCGCGGCCGAGCGGTGCTGCACAGGGCGAAGTCCCCACGTCACCCGAGCCCCGGGCTCCCCGGGCTGCGGGCCAGCCCCGCGGAGCAGCTCCGCCTTCCCGGCGGCACCACGCCGGGCCGGGCCGGGCGGAGGCGGCCGGGCGGCGGGGCGGGCGCTGGGGGCCGGGCCGGCCGGGGCCCGGGCGGGGCTGGGCGGGCGGAGGCGGGAGCGGGACCCCCGGGGTCGGAGCGGCCGCAGCGCCCGGAGCGGGCCGGGAGAAGGTAGGGACCCGCCGGAGCGGCCGGGGGGAGCCGGGCGCTCCCCGCCCGCCGCTGCCCGGCTCGGCCGCTGCCCCGCCGGCCTCCCCCCGTGCCGCGGCCGCCCCCGGCCTGCGCCTCCGCCGGGCCCGGCCCGCGCCCCGCACCCCGCCGGCGCCTCCCGCGCCCCGCTCCGGGCCCCGTGGCCGTGGGGGCTGCCTGTGCCGGGGGCTGCCTGTGCCCGGGGGCTGCCTGTGCCCGGGGCTGCCCTGTGCTGGGAGCTGCCTGTGCCCGGGGCTGCCCTGTGCCCGGGGCTGCCCTGCGCCGGGGGCTGCCCGTGCCCGGGGCTGCCCTATGCTGGGAGCTGCCCTGTGCCCAGGGCTGCCCTGTGCCGGGGGCTGCCTGTGCCCGGGGCTGCCCTATGCTGGGAGCTGCCCTGTGCCCGGGGCTGCCCTGTGCTGGGAGCTGCCTGTGCCCGGGGCTGCCCTATGCCGGGGGCTGTCCTGGGCCGCGCTGCCCGGCCGTGGGGTGCCCCGAGCTCGGGGGTGCGCTCCCCTCGGGCCAGCCGCGCCGCGGCAGCGTGTGGCCCTCCAGCCCTGCGTGCCCAGCTGGGCGCTCGCTGTGCCCGTCCCACAGCACACACGCTGCCCTGGCAGCACTTGGGGCACCTGGGCAGCGTGGAGCAGCTGTGCGGTACCGCGGGAGCCGCCCTTTT